GGTAGATACCTAGGGCTACTTACATGCCAGCTCTTAGAGGGGTGATTTCTATGCAAGTGGGGGACATCAAACACTAAGTGTATCAGAATTGCAATTCTCAGCCAGGCTTGACTTGGAAGCCCCAGGGATGCCCCTCTTCCAGAAAAAAATCCAGCTTAGACATGGGCATGTTGGCAGAGATAAGCATGGTCTGAAGACTACAGGACATTTCCACAAATTCCCTTTATTTACAAGATTTCAAGTCTTTCATTTGCAACCCTGAGAAGATTGTGATAATGGTCAAGAATGAATGTGATACTAGCCTGGTCAAGGGTGAACTTAAAGCAAATTAAATATCACTCAAAAATAAAGTAACATTTTTTTTTGTATCCAGTTATTAAAATCATATTTATCACTAATTGAAGATAAACTTTTTCTGGTGGAGCCTTCATAAAGGAGATAATACTTGAGGTGAATCTTAATGAATGAATAGAATTTCATGATGTGGAGAAGAGTATAGACATTTTTAGGAAGATAATTTATTTTAAAGAAAGGTATAAGAACAGAAGATCTTGAAGTATCTTAGGTAATAGTAAGTGATCTAGTATAGCCCTATAGTAGAATGGTATGATAGTAGTAATAAAATTTATTATTATTAAGTGATATTTCTGTACTTGTGGATCTATAAGTAAGATCTGAAAGTAAAATCCACTTTTTTCTTGTAAGAAAGAAGGCTGTGTACAGACTTTACACAGTAGGTGAAGCTTCTTCATGAATAACTAGAATACCTTTGTCTAAAGGACAATAGCTTCATTTTTAAGTGGGTCATTTGTGTCATCATATATTTATTGTTCATTCATTCACTTTATTGTGTACCTTCTCTGTGGCATGCACCATCCTAGAGGCTTGGAATTACTAAATAGAAATACTGAATAGAAACAGAGTTCCTTCTAAGATAGTAAATAGGAAGGAAGGCTATAAAAACATCACCAGTTAGATAATATAATGTTGGATGAGATAAGTGCTAGATGGTAAAATAGTGTGGGGCAAGGGCATGGAGAATAATGAGGGATGTTTTATTAGCTGTGCAAACTAAGGGAAGCCTCTCTGGAGAGAAGTAAGAGAGAAAATCATAACAATATCTGATGCAAAAAGTGTTTTTGCATGAGGTTTATGCTTTTGAAGGATAAACCTGCCTATCTCAAGGAGAACTGACTGTAGATGGGTAATAGGGAGACCAGTTAGGATGTTATTGTTGTCTTCCAGGCTGAAGAGAAAGTGGCAGTGCAGCATGGGGTGGAGGAAGTGCCCAGAGGCAGGTTAGGGGCCAGAAGGTAAAGAGCGCATTCAGCAGTATTGCCAAATAGGGTTTATTCTCCAGTCTGCTTCTGCAGGCAATGCAGAGTCAACTGGCCCAAGAGAACAGTAAGTTAGGCCACTACTGGCTTTTTACTGCAGTGTTTTCACTGCACATTCATACCTGTAAGCTGAGGAATCCCACCTAGGAATATGGAGCCTGTGACATTAAGTCCTGGTGCATTCATGCTGAAAGAATACTGATGCAACACTTTATTTGTCTAGACTGCTACACTGCTGAGAGTATGCTCAGCATCAGCTGCAGCAGAAGCAGAGGAAGGTCTTTTCTCCTGGTCTCTGTCCCACTGCATAACTGGTTTTAATGTGACAACCCTCTCCAGTCTTCTCAGAAGTAAATGAGTTAAAAACATAAAGAAGAAAGTATAATTATAAGAGTCAATTATTTTAATCTAGTAGGACACACAGTGATGTGCTTTAGGCTTCAAGGAAGAAATAAGAAAGCAATTTTTAAAAAGCCAAATATACTGGTAAATATATTTACTAAAGCTGATTTTTTCCCCAAGCACCTATTCCATCCAATACAATTAACCTGAATGGATGAAATGATATAGTTCAAATCAAAATAATTTTTGAACAAAGTACAACACGTTTTACTAATTCCTAATAATACTGCCCCCATTTAAGGTTTAGAAGAGAACAGTAGGACAGATGACAATTAGTAAAAATACTCAGAAAGGTCTCAGGAAGCTCAGGAAGACAATGGAGGGAGACAAGGAGTAAAAGGCTTTTGGAGGCAGATTACATTGGGCGATGAGTGGGCATGTAGATTTTGAGGAGTATTCCAGAGCTAGCAGGGGTAGTTAACAGCATAGTCTCTCAGATCAGACAGTTCGGTTTAAATTCTGGCTTCAGGACTTCCTAGCCATGACATTTGACAAGTTACTTCAACTTGCTGTGCCTCAGTTTACACATCAGAGAAAGGAAATAATAGCTCTTAACCTTATAGAAACACTGTCAGGATCAAGTGAGATTTTATCACACAGTTGTTAATGTAGAGACAGGCATGTAAGCATATTTAATATATTTTACCTATTTTTATTAGACTGGGTGGTATTTGGAGACTGGATGTGGAGTATAAAAATACAAAGGAATAAAAGAGCCTTGAGTTTCTTATTTTCCTCTTGGTTGCTGTTTCATTACATCTTTATACCATAAAAATTACTTAAATCAGACAGAAGAAAAAAAGAAGTTAAAAGAACTGGTCTTGGTTTTAACTGTATTTATCTTGGGATTCACCACTTGTTGGTGCATGCATCTATATTTTATTCATTTTTACCATTGCAATTCCATTTTATGGGTAAATCAGTATGTAGAGTGGATGGGCATTTGGGTATTTCCTCAGTGGCTCACCAGGTAAAGAATTGGCCTGCAATGCAGTAGACACAGGGGACTCAGGTTTGATCCCTGGGTCAGGAAGATCCCCTGGAGAAGAATTGGCAATCCACTCCAGTTTTCTTGCCTGAAAAACCCCATTGACAGAGGAGCCTGTGGGGCTACAATTCATGGAGTAGCAAAGAGTTGGACATGACTGTGCACCAGATACATATATACATTTCCATAGATATATGGACATATGGGTCATCATTATTCTGATATTAGGTACAGTGCTGCTATAAACATTCATGGCTTTGGTGTGCATATGCATGGAATCTGGTTGGGTATACGCCTAGAAGTGTTTGGAAGAACTACCCGGGCAGGTCTTGTACATGCCATCTCATCTCACTCTTCTGGTCCTCTGGCTTTGCTTTCTCATCCACATTTCAACTCTAATTCAAGTGCCTTTTATTCTCAAATGCTAAACTAGATGCATGGGAAAAGGAGATTCTAGAAAATGTAGTTGTTGGTCTCTCATTTGTGATACAGAGAAATTAAATGTGGGTAGGGATGATGCTTAATTGATAACAGACAATACAGTATGAGCATATTTTCATTTCTAGTGGTCATATGGATATTGTACTTTGTGTTGTGTTTGTTGAATTATCTTGCCAATTATTTGTTTGCTAATCTTTTTACCTTGTAGATAAAACATTTAAATATTCCAGATACAAACCTTTCATGAATGATAGATTTTACAAATTGCTTTTCCTATTCTGCAGTTTGCCTTTTCTCTCTTAATGGTGACTTTTAATGAATAGAAGTTCTTAATTTTAATGTACTGCATTTTAGCAATTCTTTCCATTATTGTTAGTGTCCATTATAAGCCATTTAACAAATCTTTCTCTTTCATTTGTCCAAACTTTTTAAAAATTGAAAATAAAAGATTCTATTTTTAGGTATGTGTCTTGTAAACAGTCTTTTGTTATTCTATTTCCCTCTTCTTCCCTGCATAGCTTGCTATTTTTATGCTGCATTTTGACTATTACTGTCATTGCCCCGCTACAAAATACCTCCTTGACTAGTCAAAGTCTAATATAAAGAGTGCTTTTACCTTGAAAGTGCAAAAGTTCTGAAATTCTTTAACATCATTTATTGCCTGTTCAACTCGCGTGTTGCATCAAGTATTGTAGTTATCTATACATGTTAAAATACCACAACATATGATCATTATTTCATACCATAAATAACATTGAGATTTAACCACATATTCTTTTTACCTTTTCCTTCATTCTTCATTCCATTTGCATAGCTGTATTTCCTGGGTTGGGAAAATCCGTTGGAGAAGGAAATGGCAATGTACTCCAGTATTTCGCCTAGGGAAAGTCATGAACAGAGAAGCTTGAGGGGCTACAGTCCATGGGGTTGTCAGAGTTAGACACAACTTGGCAACTAAAACCAGTTTCAACCAATACTATGTTTCTTTTTTTCTGAAGTATCATCTTTGGGGTAGACTACTGATTAAAAAATATCTATAGGAATTTCTTTGTTTGAAATATCTTTTTTTTTTCTTTTCCTTTTTGGAAGCCTTATTTTGATATAAAATGAAAGTTGTATTTACTTCCTTTTAGTGCTCTGAAGTTACCATTTTTTCATATTCATCATGCTCTTGCTTTTACTGTATCTTCTTGGAAGTCAGCTATAAGTCTGATTGACTGACTCTTCTTTGGAGTTAATGAGTCTTTCTTCTCTGGCTTTAAAGATATCTTTTGTTTTTTTTGCCATGGTGTACCTAGGAATGAGTCATTTTATTTTCGCTTCTTGGTGTTCATGGCACATTTTGAAATCTGTAGCTTGAATTTTGACATTTTGTCTATCTAGCCCTCTGAGTCTATGGAAATTTGCTCAGAGTCAGTCACAAGTTCCACTGAGCTTCCGAGCTTCTCTCCTGCCTCTTCTGGATACCTGCTCAGGTGTTCTGATCAGGCCCCTCTAGGACAGAAGCAGTGCCTACCTTTCCTTCACTGATCTGCCTTTTTCTTCTATATTTTTCCCTGTAGTTCTTCACTGCCTTGTTATCTCTCTGAAAGGAATAAGAAATATAATCAATATAGCTTATTAAATGCAGTATGGTAATTTGAAATGAATTTTATTTGCTCTTCTAGAGAGGGGAGCATAAGTAAATCATAAGCTATTTTCCTTTATAATTTTCATAACTGCATGAATATATAAGACATAAAGTCTATGTTTCAAACTGTAGCTTTATTTTTATTTATTTTTTTTTTCCATTCTTTGTCACTTTTATTCAGTAGTAGTATTTTTTTCCCTTATTTTCAGTGCCAGACACGACAAGGAGTGATTACAGCCAACTGTTATTAAAACATTTGTTCGCAACATGTACCCCCTTTACCACTGACCCCAGACTGACTCGTCTGTGTGCTTTCGTTCTTTCCTTTTTATAGCACCACCAAGACTGGGTGGAGGGGCAAGGGGAAGAGAGATGAAGGGGAAGAGTCCAGTAGCCCAGAGAGGAGGAATGCTACAAGCCACAGTAAGAATGAGCTGTGTTTAATTTAAAGAAGGGGAGGTGGGGTGTACCCCACAAATGATACAGTAATGAGGATACACAATTAAATCCCATAAGCATGACTGAAGGCTTTCACTCTGTTTGACGTCATCACAATGGAAGGCATAAAAAGTGGAGTAAATCAATGTTGACACAGTCCAATCTAGTCCATTAGGCAAGATGGTGCAAGAAGTCATTTAAATTAAAAGTGCCCTACCCTTACCTAAATGGCCAGCAGACATGGAGAACACCACAGGGAGGGATCCACAGAGCTTTCTCCATGTTGCTATGGAAAATGTGTTGTCGAATGGCACACTGTCAAACACTGGAAAAGGGACGCCACGCCACAATGGACCTCTCTCTTTTATAAGAGAGATTCAACTATCTCAACTAAGCAGGAAGTGGGTTCTTCTGCTAGGAAGGCCAACCCTAATTCACTTTGTCTTGAAATATATACAGATTGTTTGTAGTAGCTACAGCAATGATATTTTCCTTGGGGTGCCAGGCTGTGTGAAGTATTTTCTTGTTGAAGTCTAGGCTGTCAACACTGATTTCATCTTTCTTTCGCTTGCCACTTGCACACACTTTGCGTTGCTTTAGAACCGTGCGAGGTTTATTGTTTTCTCGTGATGCTTCCAGGGTTATGTCTCGCTTTGTGTTCCAGTCAAACATTCTGAAGAAATTATTGTAAGATCCAGTCATGACAACACTGTTAGATCCATTCCAACAACATTCAAATTTGTCAAATATGCAGTCATTTTCATACAGTGAACAAAGTTTACTTCTGAGGTATTCATGTACCTGGTATGTTTCCACAGGCCTGTTTTCCATATTTAAGTCCCAAATTTTGACTGACAAATAGTCTTTAGTCATCATATACCGACCACTATGGCTGAATTTTACATCAGAAATTGAAGAGATGATTTCAGAAAAAAAAGACCTGTTACTGGGATCTTCAGGTTCTTCAAACATAAACTGTAGCTTTAAATGTGTAAATAGACTATGAATGATAAAGATTGTCCTTGAACAATCTTTTCTCCTTCTGATTTTGTTTGCGCATTGTTTCTAAGTAACCTTAAGTGTATTGTAGAGTTTTAGTGGGTATTAGGGACAATCTTTCAGTATATGTTAATGTTTTCCCTAAGTAGGTTAGAGAAATGACACCCAGTCTCACTTTGGAATTTAACTCAGATCTTAATTTAAGTCACCTTAGCATGCTGAAGTAAGTAATGGAGAGAATTCTTGAGAAAGCATCTTTTGCTAAATTTATGTCTTGGTATATCTTCGGAGGCTCTTCACACGTAGTTTACATTCCGTGGCCTTGAGTAATCTTGGTTTACATAACTTTTTTGTAGCAAAATGAATAAAGTGGTAGTTCTAAATAAATCAGTAGAAGACTTAGTGATTGTGCTTTAGTTGGGGCATAGAGATGTGTCTGCCATGTATTACTTATTTTGTTTGATATTCATGTTTGAGATTAATTTCAGTCCTTTTGTGTTTTACCAACAAATTAGAATAAAGTCATTCATGATAAAATATAATCTAACCAATAGTAATGAACATTCCTGCATTCAAGTGGCCTAAAATACTGTATTTGACTGAGTTTGACATTGTGAGGAAAGATTCTATTTTTGACATTTATTCCTACTGGAGAGTCACTACATATAAGTCCACAAAATATTAAGGGCTAAATATTTTCTAAACTTGTTTTTCCTTCAGAATAAGTAAAACATTTGGCAGGTTTATTGAACTGTTGATACAGCATGGTGCCTCAGGGAAACTAAAATGTTTGACTGCACTAAAGTGCTTAAAAATAATGACAGTTCACATCCTTAGTCAGGGCTGGGAATGCATATCAGATAAGAAACAACCTTAAGAATGGTACAGAATGGATGACTGAGAACCAGAGGAATAAAAACTAGTTGACCTCAGCAATAACATACTGATTTTTAACTCTTTACCTTCTGAATAAAACCACTTCTCCTAATGTACTGCTTTAATATTTTGTAAGCAAAAAGGTGAACAATTAAAGTATTGCTTTTCATATTTATCTAGCAGTCCTCTAAGAAGGATCATAAACAGACTTAATGACATTTTTATTAATCTTCACTTAATGATTTGGGCATTCCTATAGCCTTCAAGTTAGGTTGTAAAAATAATGTTCATGTATGATATTGTGAGATATTTGTAGGCAAAGTATCTATCTCATGAGTTACTGTGTTTCCAAAAATTCATTGTAAATCAGCTGTTTGAAGTTCAGATCAGGTGGAACTAAGTTCTTCTATGTATTTTGCAGATATCTCTTTTATATTAGAATTCACTGGTTTAAATATCAGACTTTCCCTGGAAAATGAGCCAGTGAAGGCCAGTAATCATGTCATTTTTTTCTTGGTGAGCACATTTTTTAAATATAGGGAGGGATAGGGTATTGCTAACTCTGTGAGTGTGTCTAGGGTGGTAGGAGACAGCCAGAGGGAATCTGACATGTTCTTAGCAAAAATGTTCTCATTCATTCCTTAAGGATGCTGTACACAGCATTTGCTTCACAGCTGACTCAGTGGTATAGAATCTGCCTGCCAAGCAGGAGACCATGGTTTGGATCCCTGGGTTGGGAAGATCCCGTGGAGAAGGAAATGGCAACTTACTCCAGCATTCTTGCCTGGGAAATCCCAGGGACAGAAGAGCCTAGTGGGCTACAGTCTACAGTTTGTAAAGAGTAGGATGCAACTTAGAGACTAAACAACAACAACAACAACATAGCATTCAGTTGGTGTTTAATAACTGATGAATAAATCAACCAAAGTTATGTTTGTAGGTCGACCATAACAATCTATGATAATGATCTAACTTGCATAGTACTAGCCTGATCTCTTGGTCCAGAAACTAGAACCCTGCAAAGAGGAAAAAGAAGTTGAGGAATAAAATAATATAAGGGAACTTCCTGATCTTTTTCTGGGGACAAAGCTGGTATTATGTATTATTTTGAAATATTTGGTGCCAGTCTATACAATTAGAATTTTCTTGTTCCTCCCCCAGTATCTAAGAAACATACTAGTGTTTACAGTTAAAAATTTGACATGGCATTTTGAAACCTCCAAGGTCTATCAAACTTAAGGTGAGATTGCAAAGCATCAAGAATGCAAATTCTTCTAAAGTTTTAAGTTATATAATTCGAACATTTATATGAGAGTCTCAACTGATAATAAAAATTTGTTGTCATTTGTGTTTTAAGCAAATTAAAAAAATCTACAAATGCAAATATGGTTTGATGCCATACAAATACCTTTATATTACAAACATAGGCAATAAATTATACAGTGTGATTTATATTTCTTGAAAATGTAAATGAATCCATCTGGAAACTATGATGAAAATCCTAGTAATTCAATGAGAGGAAAAATTTTAGAAAGCAGTAATGATTAGAGCCTTCTAGATGAATAATGGTTGGTGCTGGATAACAAATTAAAAATAAGTTTTCAATCTTGGATAGTAGTAAGTGACATCCTTTGGGATGCTTATCCACAGACTGAATATGATAAAGTTACGGATATGTCATTCTCAATATGACTGCAGGGGGTGGGCCTGAAGGTAGGTCACCCTGACTGAGAAAGTTTGGGTCATCTGAGGGGAATGTTTTGATCAACTGGAAGGAGATAAAGGAAATAACTGTGTCTCTAAAGAACCAACTTCAGAGGAAATGTTAAAATAATAATATAGATTAAATTGCCAGGTTAAACCAATGAGAAGTTATGGCTGTCTCTATTTCAAGACAGGCTATAAACAGTAGCACCAAAAGATTTACTTAATTTTCTTTAAAAATCATGAAATATAGAAGCAGTAACTGGCTAAGAAATACTATTTAATAGCTTTTGCAGATGTAACTTACAGAAGTTATAGTTACTTACTTTTGTAGAAGTAATTTACTGGTACGTTAGTACACTTCCTTGAGGGCACTGTAGACTTTTGTCCACTAAAATATAAAAGCAAAATTTGGCTTAGAACGATAATGTGAAATTCTTCTCCAAAAAATATGCCTTAAGATATTTGAAACTTTTTGCTTTACTTGCATTAACTTTTCATAATCATCAGCAATTTGTATTGATAATCTGATCAATTTAATTTTCAAGATTTCTTTTGGTATGTCTTTCTCTGTAGTTGGCTAATCAAAATTTTAAAAGACTGACTGCAAGTTGCTCAGTCGTGTCTGACTCTTTACCCCAGGGACTATACAGTCCATGGAATTCTCTAGGCCAGAATACTGGAGTGGGTAGCCTTTCCCTTCTTGAGGGGGCATCTTCCCAACCCAGGGATCGAACACAGGTCTCCTGCATTACAGGCAGATTCTTTACCAGCTGAGCCACCAGGGAAACCTAAGAATATTGGAGCGGGTAGCCTATCCCTTCTCCAGGGGATCTTCCTGACCCAGGAATTGAACCAGGGTCTCCTGTATTGCAGGCAGATACTTTACCAACTAAGCTATTAGGGAAGTCTCAAAAAACGGACTGAGTTTTAGGAAAACTCTTTGTAGAAGCTTGCTATTTGTATCATTAACCTCTCTCCAGAGCTTCTAGCTATATTACTATAAAAGTAGGTAGAAACTTTCATTAGAAACAAAAAATACCATTTAAATTGCAGTCTTTCACTTTTTAAAGATCTAATAAAAGATCTCTGTTACTATGCAAACTTCCAAGCAGACTACTTTAGAAACCAGTTCAAGTTACTAAAACATTAACTGCATCAATCTTAATATTTATACATTTAATCCTCTAATATATGCTTTTCTACATGAATTGTGTATATAGAATACATTTTTTGGTAACATGAGTTTTTCTCTCGTTTTATAGAATGAGATCAGATTGTAGGTAAAATAGTTTATTGAAGCTCTTAGAAAATTTCAGCTAACTGGCTTCAAAAAGCTAAAATTTGATAATTCATTCTCCTCTGTCTCTTTGGGTTCCTATGTTTTCAAATTTCCATCATTGCTGCCTTCACCCTAGTTGAGTGATCAAAGGCATGGATGTTTTCTACCTCTCTGAGCCTGACAACTGGTTCATAGTGCTTTGTCTTTCCCCACAAGCGATATGATTATTTTAAGACACTTCTAATTTAATGGAATCCTTTATTTCCTCAACAAGTTTATAGTGAAAAATATATGTCAAGATTAATATGTATCTCTTTTTACTTTCCTGTTTTCTGTCCTCTCATTCTGTGACACTAAATGACTCTATTCAGTTTAATTATATATATAGTATAGTTCTGTAATTTCTTTGATTTTTATCATGCATATTGCACTCCAAAAAATTGTCAACCTTTCTTTGCTAGTCTGTTAAACTTACTGTTTGAATAATAATGCTCCTCACATTAGCCATCTCAATTCTTAGACAAGAAAGTAATTTCTTTATAAGAAGAGAACATCATGGATTTTACTACTTAATTATTTTGTGAAAAGTATCTAGTGTGAGTTCTGAATGTTACTCTTGTATTCTATACCTATTACCATTATCGGAAATTATCTATTCAGTGTATGTGGAAAAGTGCTTATTTTCAAATAGTCATTTTCATATTGTGAAATCAACTTAGAAATACATTCATAATGGAAACACTGGAAAGCCTTTAACTTTTAAAATGAATTCATCTTCAATTCATAATTTAAGTCATAAAGAGAAAGATTCTACTAGAAAAGCAGTATTGCTAAAGTGTATTTATGGAAGCTTCCTTAATAATTTAGTTATGCGTGTCTTAAGGGAACAATAATTAAAAATAAGTTTTTAATTTTAGTTTGTTACCTCACAAGATTTCAAGTCACTTAGCAAAGTCTGAAGCTCTGAGAAATGTCAAGCTGAGACTAGATAAATAGCTGGCTATCGGAAGTGTCAAATATTTTGAAGAACACAGTGTAGTGTTAGAGTCTTGTTCTGCATGTATATGAATGAATTTTAACATTATAGATTAAGACCTCACATTTTACACTTTTACTGTTG